CCAGAATAATAATAACTTCTGCTCTATGACTGACACTGAAGATGACTACCATTTCCTTTGACACTCTGACATGTTCAATGTTTTGAACATGTTCACATGTTTTTCCCTACATAAGAAAATTTGAGTGCACTTTGCGCTTGACTTTTTCTTAATGGAATTTTAGCCTCATTTTGGAACTTTGTGACCAGCTTTTCCGCTTTTGTGTAGAGCATCTTTGCCTAGTCCCACTTATTTGATGCAATTTCTTTAGGTCCTCTCTCTTTTTTAAAAAAGAGATTCCCCAGCCTGCTGCTCTCGTTCTACTTTCCATCTTTCATATACATGAAATATGGAAGATGATTTAACACAGGAAGTACAATGTAGGACTTTTAAAGTGCCTTAGGTCAGGAGATTGATACAAGGAGTTGATCCAAATATGACCTAATAGAACAAAGTCAGTTGTTGTATAGGTCCTGCTGCCTAGCGGTTAAATGACACAATTTCTCATTATTGCTTTCTGTAATACACCAGCTGAATACATGAAATGTAGAAAGTGTGGCTAGAGGACATTTAAAATATTCAAGCATGGGAGTGTGCCACCATTTTCTAGGACAGGGAGTAAGGACCAGGTGGAAAGTGTGAGAAGAGACAGTCCATGTGACTAACTTTGAGTTTATCATCTATAAAATGGGAATAACAGTACCTATTAAAACATGAGGACATGAGAATTAAATGAGATTATATACATATATATTTCTATGGAACTTCAATAATATACAAGGTACTTTATATATCTAGTAATATATATGTGATGCACATATATAATGTGCAAGGTACTTGAGTGTGTGTGTGTGTGCACGCATGTGCGCACACGTGAGTGCATGGGTGCATAAAGTACCCTGGACATTATAGGGTAACATAAAGGTTAGTTGTTGCTATTTACTATCCTTGAATAAGTTTTTCTTTTGTACCTGACAGTACTTATCAGCTATTTTTTACATAGCTGTTTAGCTGCATGGCAATGTAAGACTAGGTTTTTAAACTTGTTGTTAGTCTTAAAATGGAACTGAGTAGTAGGACAGAAGTGAAATAAATTTTATTGTAGGGCCTATTATATACTCTACATGTAATACTTAACCCTCATAGCACCTGCCTAAACAGACTACTATCTTCATTCTGCAGAGGAGGCTACTGAATCTCCCAGACAGAGCTTGGATTTGATTAAAACATTCACACTCTAACATCACAGCATGCAAATTTCTGTAAATATGGAAAAAAAATTTACACTTTCAGTATCAGTAAATAAACATGTAACTCAGGAATTATACTTTGCCATTTCAAAAAAATGTGTATTACTAAAACATGTGAACAATATGGATACAGTAAAAATTACAGTACAGTGAAAATAATAAAGTACATATCAGAAATATGATCCATTTGTGATTTTTAAATTATTCTGATCTAGTTAGGACTGGTGCTTGTAAACTTTAACATACACGTGGGGAACCTCTCCAAAATGGAACTTATTTTATAAAACATTTTATATTTATTCTTACATGTTTAAACTTCAGTTTAAAGTACCCTCTGTTTGAGGCAATACACCTATCAAGACGCTTTTTCCACTGTTCAAAACAGTTTTTGTTGCTGTTCTTATTTTTTTCTGAGTTGGAGTCTCACTTCATCACCCAGGCTGGAGTGCAGTGGCATGCTCACGGCCACCCCAGCATCAACCTGCTGGGCTCCAGCCATCCTTCTGCCTCAGTCTTCCAAATAGCTGGAACTACATGTGCACACTACCACACCTGGCTAATTTTTGATTTAACGTAGAGATGAGGGCTCGCCAAGTTGCCTGGGCTGGTCTCAAACCTGCGGGCTCGGGCAATCCACTCGTCTCAGCCTCCCAAAGTGCTGGGATTACAGGCTGAGCCACCGAGCTCAGCCACAAAACAGCATTTTTTTTTTTTGAGTTGGAGTCT